GAGATACAGCAACATCCCCAGACACAGAGAGGAAGGTCAAGTCTAAACAATCTGTGCCCTCTGTTCTGTCTGTGTCTGTATAGAGAGAAGAGACCACTGAATGTATTAATCCATGTAGTAGGTTATTAGCATCTTACCAAACACTTAATAAATCATCAATACATTTTTTTTATCTGTCAAAAAGCCACAAACCACGGAACAAAGGACTGTATTTGTTATATCGTCATGATGCATTGGTGAAGCTTTTAACTGCGATAAATGGTAACAATAAAACAGGATACAGCTGATTTTGGTAATAATCTACAGATATGTTATGAGTTCATTTAAATCACATTCAAATTCCAGATTTCCTTGCTCTCACTGTGATAATATTCTTTATTTGCAGACAGATTCTGCCATTTGTTGAAGTAGCATGGAGATTTAACCAAGTGATATTTTCCTAAAAACTGCCTCATGGCTGTTCAAGTACTCTAAAACAGGCCCATGATGTCACTGTTTACCACTCTACCCCCCCCCCCTCACCTCCGTTCATAGTCATTTGCTTGTCTCCCTTCCATTTGCAGCTGTCAGAATTAAACTGTACATAATGGTTGCCATCACGTCTCTTGCTTCCTGGCTGCTGCTAACCCCAAATCAACATTCCTGCTTCTTAGTGATGTTCATTGCAATTGTTGGGCAAATTGTTTGTTTTGAAAATGCAAAATCAAATAGCCCGATGTGAAAGAAAGAGCATCTGATTGGCTTCCAGTGTTCCCTCTGTCGATTTGAATTAAGTGCAAATGAGGACAGGTGGGTGAATTTGTATGTCTGTATGTGTGTGCAGATGTAGATAGTATGCATACACTACAGTCGCTTGTGACTTGTGTGCTCATGTGCAAGTGTGTGCATCTTCAGGTGTCACAGCACATGACATTCAACAGCCATTGTCTACCGACTTTATATCCATGAGTGACTGCACAAACCAGACAACATCTGAGTTACAATTAAAGATTTTCACCAACAAGCTTCTAATAGTATGTCTGATTAGGAAAGACACTCTTGCCTAAAGCCTGGAGGCTGTGTGTTCAGTCAGGGGAGCTATTATTGACAGCTACTGAATGATCTACAGTTGTAAGGGTGGAAAAAGCAGGATGTCTAAATGAAGCCAACAAGTCAATCAATGCTGTGTTTAAGACTTGCATCCTGTTTTTGGAACAAATCTCTTGGCACATATTCGTCTGTGTGTGAATAGAGTGTGTACTGTAATTATGCTTTAATGGAGTGTGTGTACTGTAAGTTCATGTCCTCAGGCATCTTACATGCTAGCACAGAGGCACTGACTAACAATTTGAATATTTTAATTTTCAAACGTTTGTATCTACTCATATACTGTAACTTAAAAGTAGAACAGTAGAATAGACTTTAATTGACGTAGCGACCACATGGCAAGCAATCATTAGTAAGGTGTCCAAGTCACTAAAATGATCAGGTCATACAAGATAAAAAAGTACATGAAAAGGTAAAGAGGAGTAGTAAAAAAGAAGAAAACATGACTGACTTTAGTTTAAGTTGGTTAACTACTGCTGCTACTTACTTTCTACTATTTTAAGGGACAATCAACCATTATAGTGAAACACTGGGCAACTTGACATTTTACTATAATTAGGTTAGTTTACCATGGATAGTGATCATAATCTACTATATTAAACAAAACTAATTACTAATCTGGCAGACTAAAAAGACAGTATTCTTCTAGGTGCACTGCCTAGTTTCCATAGATTATCTAGCCACACTTTTTGGTGAAATGTTTGATATAAGGAGATTTCAAGGAAAAACTTTTGGATTCTTGCACATTATTCATAATCTAAAAGGCATGTGTAACCATATCTTTTACATGTCCCTAAAGGTCCAGTACAGATGTTTTAGGTCCACAATTGATTAAGGTTTTGTTCCAGAAACATCCAGCTGGTAAGATATTTACTGTCAGTTTACTGTTGAGTAAATTAGGCTACAAAAGAATAATATATAATAATAATATAATATATAATATAAATTCTACAGTACATCTACATTTAAAATTATTTCTTAGATTATCCTATTGTGAGCAAGCTCACAGCTGACAGCCCTGGCCTTTTGGCTGAACACATTTTTTTCAAACATGTCTGGTCAGGCTTATTTGGTCTGGAAAAATCTAAGACTCACTATGACTGAAATCTGAGAGAGATACTGGCTACATCTAATTGTCATTTAGAGGATGTTTTAGGTCCACAATTGATTAAGGTTTTGTTCCAGAAACATCCAGCTGGTAAGATATTTACTGTCAGTTTACTGTTGAGTAAATTAGGCTTTTCTCCTTTTCTTTTTTTTAAAAATCCTTTTATTTGTGTTTATATAATCAAAAGGTTTCAACAACTCATTATTTCATGTACTGCAATTATGTTTTATAAATCTTTGTAATAAGTTGAGTTTGCAAAACTCCATTAAAGTGCTTAAATCAGAAGTTTCAGTGAGGACCACCCAGAACTGCAACACTGCAAGGTGAGCTGCAGGCTAGTACAGTGAACTAAATATGTCCATAATGTAAGTTATTGTAGAGTTATGCCACCTGGATGTATTGATATCTAACAAAGGTAAATACATGTGAGGGTATTTTCAATATATCACTTTGATGCAGTAAAAATTGGGATGTAAATAGTGCATTAGCATGTCGCTAATGTCACTAGTATGCTAACGCACTAATTGCAATTAGCGCGTTAGCATACCAGTGACATTAGCATAGTGTGCAGAGTATCAGCCCACCCACGCTACTCTGTAATGGTAGTGTGTTCGGTGTTGTTGGCTAGAACATAAAGCTAAAACTACCTTGGTATAAAATAGTAGGACTTTTTGATTAATTAAAGCGACTGAGGTGAAGGGCATAAAGTTAGACAGAGAGAGCGAGTAAACTCTTGTTGGACCCTGTGAGGAGTAGATGTCTCCCGCCTACTAACATTACAGCTTCCTTTCGAACTGTTGCTGCCAGCCAGTGCACCATTTGGACTATTGCAGCATCCAGCCTTTATCCACCATTCCTCGTCTGTTCTCCATCTTTCCCTTGCTCATGCTTCAGGTAACATCCCATGGACTTGTGAGTGCAAACTAACATTACATGTGTGTTGTATTTTGGTAACTTGGACTATAGTGGTAGCAGCTGTTTTGTTTTGTGCTATGCTATCTATCCCAAGTCACGACTCAGGCATGCATCATTTTAGTTTTGGTTAAAGCGCACCACTTTTTATTTCAGTTGCAGTGAGAGTTATAGGGGAAACACACTTAAGTGCTTTTGTAAATTGTTTTGTTATTTATTTTAGATCTTTTGTATCATTTTTGTGTTTAAATATTTGTGTTAACTTTTAAGCTGAACTGTAACTCTCTTCTAGAATGCGACATTATACAAATATGTATCATAAGTGATTGTAAATTTGAATGTATTACTGTTAAACATAAAGTAACTACTTGAAATGACTGTAGAGTTGAGTAGAGTACCTCTTAGACATGGTGTCAACAAAATTTCTACACAAAGTAGTAAATTGGGAATACTTTACTCATCATTTTGGACAGTACCTCTTCTATTTTATATACCACCACCTCATATACCACCTATTTTACAGATACACAATGACTGGAAGATGCAGAGCTGTTCCTTTTGAGTCTACATGTGTGTCACAGCTGGACAGATGCAGACCAAACTCTAAAGAGGAGCAGTGGTCACATAGCAAGAGTGTGTTAATGAAACCCATTCAGGTGAGTAGAAAGTTTTAACAGTCATGATAATAATTTAATAAATAGCTTGTTGCTGTTGCACATTTTTTTTCGTTTGTTTACAAATTGATTTCAAACCAAACTTGCTCCACGTTAAGGCCTACTGTTGGAGTGACACCAAATGAATGAAGTCTTATCTGAATTCACCAAAAGATGTAAAGTTATAATATTAATGAGGGTAAACACTGAGGGTAAAACCAACCAGCTTGTTGGTCTGACACAGTTTGTGCAAGGCTTGATCACTGTGTATTCCAGTATGTGTGCTCATACTGTGTGGTCCTGTATGAGGGGTATAGAGTGGAGCTTAAAAGTTTTTTTCTTTTAATGGTGTGGGGATTTCTTTGATGTTCATGGTTTAAGGGTGTGTGTTTATAAATGAGACACTAAGCTGCATTTTTAAAATTTTGTCTTCTCAGAGGTTTGGCATTTTTAAAACTTGAATGAACTTGAATATTGGTGCCCTGTGTCACTGCTGTGTAGTGTCTGTAAAACTAAAGTGTTCCAGAATGATTGTTGTGTAGCAGCTGTTTTTAAATAAATAAATTGTTAAAATTAAATTTTATAGAGGTTGGTATTTGGGAAACTGTATTAAACGTATTTTATCACATTGTAATTTTTTGTCTTCTGTTTTAGAAGTTGCTTACATCTGATTTTACACGTCAAGTGAACAATGTTTAAATTTAGTTAGTTTAGTTAGTGTATACTAACAAGAATGAGTTAATGTTAGGTTATTAAACATAAATTATTGAATGTTAACATTTTGATACTTGTTTTTTATTTAATTTTACTTGTCAAAATGTGAATTGTGTTAATGCTAACTAATTATTCAAAGTAGATTTGATGCAATACACACAAATAAGAAGAGTTGGTAAAAATGTTAAAACTTGACTTTTACAGTACTTAGATTTTACTCAGCTTACTCGGCCGTACTCTATTTTTAGTCTTACAATTGCTGTATATTATTGGGTTATCCTAATTTAAAAAAATAAAAACTTCACTAAACTTATAAAAATGGTTAGAAAATGTTTTTTTTTTGGAGTCAGATCAAAGTAACAGTTTTTACAGAGCATCGTGTATATAGAGAGATCTTGGATACAATCTCTACTGTTTTGTTGCCGAGTGTGTGCATGTGGGCTCGGGGGACTATGTCTATGGGGAGAAGCAGAGCAGGAGAAGTTGGAGAGAGCAGCAGCCACACAGAACATGGACAGAGCGTTTACCTGGCCCTGTGCTCTGTGGGTACGCCAAGTAGCCGCCTCTTCCACGGGCCCCCCTACCTGAGCCACGCGCTGCTGCTACCGCTGCTGCCGCCACCGGTCCGTATGCTGTCGCTGGGAAGCCTGCAGGCACATACACACACATACACACATACATCACTTCCTGCACATGGATGAGTACACCCCAGAGCTACAGGAGAATGTTGATACCAGCACTGAGCTAGGGGATAAAACTATAGCTGTCAGAGACAGGGGCTCATGTCAGGGCGACATCTATCTCTTACTGTGATATTCAAAACCTTGCAGATCCACTGATCCACACACAGAAACAGACAGATAGCCACGAGCAACTCACTAGATATTAGATTAAAATAAAAATAGGTACGTCAACGTACTTATCGTGATCATCGTGAGGGAAATCTCAAATTACATTAAAACCATAAAATGAAATTATTGGTTTATGATTTTACAATGTAAAACATCAAAAACAATAACTTGCATGAGAGTGATCTTAAATTCTTATCTTCTAAATTTTCCTTTTATAGAAAATGTATGTCTGATTGAAAAGGTGCAAATTCCTATTCATCTATAAAACTGTGAGTAAACTGACTTTTGCAATTCACCAAGTCCTTGATTATATTAGTGGAAGCATTTGGCTCTGGGGGGTGTTTATGTCACATGCTTTGGATGAACGATTACAGCCACTTCTGAGCTGCATAGACATGGGCATAAAAGCCTGACCTCTGGGGACTACCCCTGCATTTTGTTCGGGAGTGCTCCCAATTACTGAGAGTTTCTGCGGAATCAGAATTATCCACTGTAGTGCAAGAGCGAAGCAGTCCACTTTCTGTTGGGCTGGAAGATATACAGTAGAAAAACATTTACCACAATCAGATGGAGACATCTGTTGGATGATTTGTCATTCAATCTGTTAGTTTATGTGAAGACTGTACAAGTCTCTTGTTTCTTCTTATGTAAACATTTATAGTACTCCACCACTGAGCCATAAGCTTTAAAAGCATGTCTATGTAAGCATTCATAAAAACCAAATAAATTGTCAGTTTATGATACACTAATAAGACCTTAATACCATGCAAATATAAATCCACTTCTTTCAAGTCTGATTATTCCAACAAATATCAGCCTAATAATCAGTCTGTAATTAAGCCAAACGCAGTATCAGTGAATTGTAATTACATTGTTGGCCTTAATGAACACTGTAGCTAGAGGTGGCTGACAGAGGCTAGTCCATGCCCAGGGCCCGGGCTCTTCTCTCAGCACAGGAATGGCATGTCATTAGTGATGATGAGATTCCTCACTCTGGGCTCAACACTGTCTATGCCTAATCAGCCTCCTAAAATTATCTCCACAGGAAATGCTTTCCTCACTAGCAAGAAAAGAAAAAAAGATCTCCGAATTCCCTCAATTGGAGTTTTTCTTGATTCCTTTTTTAGCTGTATGTGTGTGCATGTGTGTGTTTCCTCTATGTTTTGGCCACATTCTGGAGACTGTGGCTTAGACATTACAAAATGGCACAAGACACCTTAGAGGATTATTTTTTGAATGCTGTGGAGGTGAGAGGAGCACTAGCGGGTGACCTATTTTCCGAGTCAGCCTTGTACTGCTATTCCACGAAGAGGGGCCTCACACAAAAGACCGATGAGAGGGAGGGAGGGGGAGGAGGTGAGAGGGCAGGGTCAGATGAGCCGCAGCCAAAGAGAAAAACACATAGCTTTTCATCAGCCGGCTGAGAAGGAGGTAATTCACAACTCTGTCGACACAATACGACCATGAATGTGCGTGTTGGGTGTGAGGTGCCATCATGCTGCGACTGGCAGGCAGGTGAAGAAGAGAAAGAAATGCCACTTTCCCCCCCAACTACCTAACAGCTCAGGATAGAATAAGGGACTCAGGCGGCATGGTGACAGCGAAGAAAGAATACAAAAAAAAAGACGACAAAAAGGCAACTAAAATCAGGCACATTTATGCTGGTGCAGCCGCACACACACCGGGAACTGATTCCAACAGCTCGAATGATATTCTCCGCCTCTTTTCACAAAAACACAAATCAACTCTGATACAATGCTAATGATGGCCATGCACCCCTGCATTTCCACTTACAGTGTCCCCATGGTTGCTGTGTGGAACAGTGTTTTATCCACCTCTTTTCACCCCTCTCTCTCACTCTCTCTCTCCTTTCCTAAGTGCTGAATCTATCTTCCCCTCGCTGCCATTGTCATGACACCCCCAATAGACCCGCTGGCTTGGAAGTTAGTTGCGGGCAAAGTTGTGGTGAGAGATTAACTTTGCAGGATTAGGTGGGTTAATTAATAGATGGCTGCTGCTCATTGTTTTGTGCTCACGCTGTAAGAAGCCACCCAAGAGAAGCGCTGCAGCATTAAATCAATTTCATGGCCCTTTTATTACTGAGGAGATAAAGCCAATATTTAGCTTTCAATTCTTCACAATTATTGGGCCCCTGCTTTGCCACTTGAGTGGCTGCGCTTGGCTGGGGACAAGGACACATCTGTTTATGAGCTGTGGAGGCCCGGGGGCCTTGGTGTCCGGACTCCGGGGAACTGTCCTCAGCTTTCTCTCTTCAAGCCTGTAGCACAGAAATTCAGCCCTCTTCAGGAGTGCACACAGAAAGGAAGAGAGATTAGACCTAAAGAAAGATGAGGACTGTCAAAATTTCACCCTCTCCCCAAGCAAAAGAATTATATATTCTCAAAACCAATTTCTCAGATTTTATGAAAATGTTTATATTCACAACAAGAATAGTTGCAGGTTTCTAAAGAACATTTCCAGTCTAAGGCTATTCTATGTCTCTTTACTCCCTACAAAAACATTTGACATGAACATGTATTTTTCTATCCATGCAACTCCACTGGTTACAAATACTGACCAACATTAAAAAAATTATGCAATCCTATATGTATCCATATTCCTTCTCTACGTCAAATAAACTTCCAGATAAAGTAACTTACCAGACAGAATGGCAAGCCCAAAATCATGGTATTGTCAGTTCTGTGCTGAAGGAACAAAATGTGCATCCAGAGCAAATAAGGCTCCATTTTCATGACAGTGCATAGCACATACTGGTGCTTTATGCCTGTAAAGTGGCATTTTTCTTGGGTGCACACCGGTTCTTTTATACCCGCACCTGTATTTTGTGAGTCTCTGTGAACTTGACTGTACTGAAGTAGGAGGAGAGACGCAGTAGGGGCAGTGTCATAGTGATCAAACAGCACATTGCAATTTTTATGTCAAGGTTTCCTGGGATTTTTGCTTGCACTGACTCTCTGCATGGACCAGGTCAAAAGCTTTGTTTTCTCCATTACAGAACAGTCAAAGCAGTTTGCTCAATATTTTTCTGCTTTTAAAGAAGCAGAGAGAAGAGAAAATGGGGTGATGTGATTGTGATGTGATTGGCCAAATTAATTCTAACCCCCATCAAGACCACAGATAGTGTATTCCTTCTTCTCTGCATTGCGTGATTTTAACAACAAATTCACCAAATGTTGGTGACCATTCCCTGAGATACCCATGCTGGGCTTGACATTGCCTGCATTTGTACTGAATTACTCATCAGAGTAAGTGTACTTCATCTAGTATAGACGTTCAACCCTGGACAGGAAGAAGGAGGTGGAAGAAGCTTGATCAGGCATATGCATATTGACCCCTACAAATGGACCTATGTATATCCTTTGTAATTGTGTTGTACAGTATGATCTTAACTTGTGATTAAAAAAAACAAACTAGAACTCAGATTTTTCTTCTGATTCACTACTTCTGGTACATTTCTGCAGATCTTTTTTGGCATACTGCCTTTCTAGCCACAGACTCACTTTCTGATCCTATTACTCAGAAAACGTCACAATGAAAAGTTGTTGCATTATGCATCAATAAGGTCCTATTTATGTCCTACCAGTCTGACAACAGCTTGACTGATGTTAATGTAATCTGTACTGTTCTTTGGCCCAAAACTGCCAGCAGCAGCCCCCCACCCCCACCCTATGTCATTGACAAAGGAGCTCCATCAGTCACAGAGCACTCCACTCATTTCTGCTATAAGAAGACTGTCAACTGTCTAATGCACAGGAGGAGCCCAGGGACAGTTGATGCTCTATGAAGGGCCTATGGATGAAGTAGACTATACCCACATTTTAATATCGCTCTGAAACTGGAAACTAATAGGGCTTCACACAACAAGATTATACCAAACTCGCAAAAAAAAACAACAATGGTAGCAAATGAGAAGGGTATGCCTATTAAATTTAGTATTTGGAGTGCAGTTAACCAGGGTTAGCTTGCTGGCTAATAGAGTTTTCATGCTACGCTGGTTAACACAGTAGCTTGGATTTCGGAAAGAGGCTTGTGAACAAGCCTTTCAGCCTGCAGCTAGTCAATTTTTGGGGCAGACAGGAGGAGTGAGACGGATGAACAGTACAGAGCAGAGATGAGTGAGACAGATGAACAGAGGAGGACAGCAGCCGCATCAGTAGACGAGGAAGACAATGAGAAGAAAGGATGACGAGAATGAGAAATTGAGGGGAAAAATAAGGCCAGGACACGTGTGTCTAATTCATTACAGGGAATTCTGTAAGGTATTTTGGACAAGAAAAATATGTCAAGAAATAAGATTTTATTATTCTCAGGTGAAACATAATAGCCACACCTACAATATAAAGTGCTATTCTGCTACACCACTAAATCAATCAAAGTGCTGTATGATACTGTTACAAAGGAAAATATATTTTTGTGAAAACAAAACAAGCAGTAGAAAATTAATAATCTAATCTAAATACTGCAATGTTAATACTCCCCTAAAACTGTAAAACTATTGAATTCCCCAATTAATTTAAAATGAAGACATAACAGGAAAAGAGTAGCTGTAGATTCTATAAAAAATAAGTTAAAGCATTTATTTTGGTCGCTCTCAGAATGTTAAATTATTGATCAATTTAAATTTCATATAGTATTAGGCCTGGTTGAATTAAATTGCAGGAAATTATCGATTTTTTTGCATGTAAGGCCTTACATGTCATTTGCAAGGTATGTAACACAGTAATTTCATAATCCTCTAATTTATTTATTGTCATTAAAACTGGGCTAATTTTATT